TATTTCTTAGATACTCAATTAAATCCAATTCAACTTGATCTTGTTCGTGCTGTTCATCTTCTTCAGGAACTAATTCGTCATTGATTTCGTTAGATAATGCAGCCATTTTTTTGATGTTGTTACGATGGCTAGCAGCTAGTGATGAAGCGTATATATAGTATAGTTTGAATGACAGGAAAAACAATCAGTAGCAACCGTATATATTTTATATAAGTACGAAAATTATGATAATCGATTGAGAGCAAGGGGATCGAGAAGTACTCCAATATGACTTTCGCCAACATGGAATTTGGCCAATTGCCGAAAGTCTTATAAGCGTTCGCCAATATCATCAGTGTACTTTCGCCAACACTAACCGTGGACTTTTGCCACTAATTCAGTTGTATTGTCTCTTTTTAACGCGAGTTACAACTTTTTTAAACGAGGGTCGGTTCGAATATCACATAACTGATTGACATTTCGTATTTTGATTTTTCGTCATTGTGACGTGGCGGTTTGTCTTGCTGCTCTTTGCATCTTGGAGTATATATATATATATATATAGCAGATATGTATTTTTATCTATTTTTATTAGCAGAAATTTGGTTCTAGATAGTGGGGAACGAAGACATGATTTTGTAAATAAAAGTGTCCAATATATTTCTTTTTCGATTTCAAGGTATTATTTTAGACACATTATGACACCAATTACTCGTGGAAAAAACAACAAAGATGTATCTGTACTGTCATCAGATGATAATTAGCTCCTTTCTAGGACTGTGCGTGATATGTGCATACCAAAATGCCGATGCCATATACGAACTAACTTTACAAGACGACATCACTTGCATTGAGAGACAGTACAATTCAAGTTATAATTGGCAAAGCCAAAAGTGGACTTTCGCCGAGACTTTGGCAAAAGTATATTAAATATTCACCAGCTTTTTCGATCATAACGTAACGGGTATAACAGAAATAAACGCACTTTTTTGTTTTCGGTATATCTTCGTCGGATAATATGCGGTCGACTTAAATGTTTTTTTATAAGATTCGCGATGAAATCCTCTACAAAAATATCTCTTAACAAGTTTTTTAAAATGAAAACTGTTAGAGTTATAAACAAAAAGCGTGGGTGACTAACAACGCCAACTTCATAAATCATATTTTTCATACTTTCTTTGACGTTTTCTCAAACTGTAACTGAATTGAGGGCTTCGATTCTGCTTGATACTATTACTTTAAAGTATGCTCTTTCTAGTGCACGCCAAAACCTTTTGACATCAACACAGGCAGGTCAAAAAATCAACGTTTTGTAAAGGAGCCAAAAAAACGCGTTTTTTGATTTTCTGTGTCAAAAAGAGTAAGTAAACAGTTCGTAAAATTCTCAAGAGTGACGTTGTCGAACTGATTACACTATGGGCTACAAAATTAAAAAAAATGTTAAAAAAAGGACGAGTTTTGGCTGAGTTATGGAACTTTTCGTGGAGCGAGCAAAAATCTGCTTCCAAAATGGTGATTTTTTAGAAAATGTAAAAATTGCTCCCTGCTATTGCGGGCTCTAGAGTCATAGATTGTTGTACATATGTAGTGCTATATAACTACAAACTTTGAGGTCTATAGCTTTTACTATGGTGGAGAAACTGTAACAACATTGTCATGTATTATTTTAAAAGATTGTCAGCAGCTAAAATTTGATATACAGAATGTTCCAGAAGTTTTAAAACGATTTTGAAATTCATCGTTCTCACGTTTAACAAAGTCACGTTCTTCCATTCCTTTCTATGGCGTATTTCAATTGTTCAATATCATTTTTACTTTCAGCTGTCTGTTCATGTGGCATTTTGTGTTGATTCAGTCATAACGGACTAATACTGAACTATATATATATATCTCATCGACACGTGCAGAGACAAAAATACGTTTGTAAAAGAAAATTTTTTTGTTCTAACACATGTTAATTAAAGAAATGCCCGAAATAACAACATTTCTCCCATTCTTATATCAAATTTTAGGTGCCGGCAATTTTTTAAAATAGTACATGGCAGTGTTGTTACAGTTTATCCACCATAGTAAAAGCTATAGACCTCAAAGTTTGTAGTTATATAGCACTACATATGTACAACAATCTACGAAAGTTTCAAAGAGTTTGTTTTTGTTAAACGCGAGAACGATGAATTTCAAAATCGTTTCAGAACTTCCGGAACACCCTTTATATCGAAGTAGTCCTATAGATTTCGACAGTGAACTTATCGCGATAAACACGATATTTAGCGTAATATTGCAATTTTTTCCAGTAATATCGAGTTACATCGCCCGATAGTTGTTTAAAAAGTCCTATTGGGTAGAAGTAAAGAGCTCTCCTAGCCATAAGATAAATGGCTTTTACACGACGTAAATTATATTAGAAACATCTGAATCACTACGTATAACTCTCATCATCGACCAGAGTAAACTAGAAATTGAGCTGTGCAGATCAACAGATTTATTCAATACGAAAATGTAAGATGTCGCAAAAAATCCAGAACATCTAGAAAAATCTAGAAAAAAATTACAATATGAATCTTCAGCGAGTAAAAACTCACTCATACGTTGCTACAGTTACAGACCACACGATTCACACCTTTTTATCATAGAGGGAAAAAGAAACTGCAGTCAATAGTTACAAGGTACAACGCAATATGTGTAGAAAAAAGATAGTAGTGATGATGAATTAATTTTTGTTAGTAATAATAAACAAATTTCTTTTATTAGAAACCAATATGTAATTGAGTCTGTAATATGATTGTTCTGTTTATTCGTTCACGTGTTGAAGAACTAAATAAGTTACTCTTATGACAGAATAGTTTTCTATGAATAGGAAATGAATGTTATTTTCTTCACTAAACACATTCAATCAGTCACACATACTTATATCTTTAGTATCGCTTTGTTCATTCATGATATTCAATTGTAAAAGCATGGACGGTTTTTCTTTCCATTCTATCTATACTTTGTGTTCGACAAGTTTTAGTCGAATGTTGAAAGCCATATATATTTGAAGAATGAACAGTGACAAAGAATAATAAGAATATATATTTCATGTTTTTTCACCATATTTAACATGAACATTGGTATGCGCAAAGATTGAAGTTAAACATCCGGTTTTGATCAAAACTCCTTTTAAAAGAAAAGATATGTAATGAGAAATTTTTTTTCTCATTTAGACAAAAGTGTTTTTTAATGTTCCGTGTGATATAATAGAAGGAATGTTAATACATTATATAGTATTTTTTCTTTATCTCATGCGGTCTCATCTTTTGTCTTTTGTTAAAACTATCTAAAGAGTTTTCTTTTTTCTATTCGTTTATTCACATCAGTGAGCTGTTAAGTATACGATAAACTAAATATAATAATATACTCAAACTTAAAATAGTAGAAATCCTCATGTCTCTCGGTTTCAAGAAATTGCATGTCATACATATTACACGACACTATCAATTGTATGTAAACGTGTTTATATTTGAAAAAGTATCATTGAAAAAATTCTTTCGAATCATGTTTCTATCGTGTCAAATATTTAGGCAAAAAATGGATGAATTATTTTTTAACATATATTTTTACATAGGTCTGTAGAACTGATGCTGTGTAAAAAATCGATAAAAATTGCTGTATACCATCATTGTCTAATTATAGTATATAAGATTTCAAGTACAAAATCTGTTACTAAATTCTATAAAAATTTGATTCAAAAATGTGTCTAGAAAGGAATAAATATATTCCTATCGCGTTTTTTTATTCATTTCTGTTTTTGAGTGGTGTTAATCAGTTCATGTTTCTCTTCATTCAGCGTTTATATATATCATCGTATTAGAATGAATGAACTATGTGTATAGACAATTATGAGTGAACAGAAATAAAATAATGTTAAACAATAGTAACAATTATTCATGTATGGAACATTCTTATTTTGCCATTGATCTTTTATTATGGAAAATATTAAGCCTACTATTACCAATTTTCGGTATACCTGGAAATGTATTAATAATTATCATCATGTTAAATAAATTTAATCGTAAACATCCAATATCACTTTATTTTGCTACTATAGCTCTATTTGAAATAATTTATTTGACAGGTGTATTCTGGGATTGGTTAGATGTCATGTCAATTGTACAGGATCCCCGTAAAACATTAAATTGTTCAGGATTTTATGTCCTTGTTCTTGGTTCAGCCATTATATCATTTATCTTATTGGCTAATATAAATATTGACAGAGTTGGTATGATTTTATTACCGTCCAAAATTACTACATGGATAACACATCGTAAAGTAACATTGACCATTATTATAACAATTGCATCTACGTATTGTACAATGATTCATTATCATTTTTCATTGTATTATCATTCTGGTTCATCAGTACTCTATGGTCAAGCTTGTGTCGTAAAACCAAATGCTAGAATTTGGTTTGAAGAAATATGGCCGATACTTTATTTAACAATATTTCGAGTTTTACCATCGTTTATTGTTTTAATTTGTTCAACAATCATTTTATGTAATCGTTGTTCAAAGTTCACAACAACACGAACCACTATTGAAAGATCCCTCAAAGTGACTGGCTATTTTAGCCGTCAATCTGTTCGTATGCAAACATTATCACTTATTTTAGTTTTTTTTAGTTTCTATTTTATCATCTCTATTATGCCCATCACTATTTTACAATTTTACAATAAATATCTTCGATACGAAACAAGTTGCATTAAACGTGGACGATGGAAACTAATGAATACACTATTTATTATGTTCGAATCCACAAATTATACAAATAAATTTTATGTCAAATTACTTGTATCAAAACAATTTAGAAAAGATGTCAAAACGTTTATTTTGATGCCGCTATATCGAATGAATATCATAGAAGGGAATATTCATTTGTATTCGAAACGCAGAGATCGTAACTTTAAACGATAATAGACAACATGACTTGTTGGATTGTTACTTTCATATTATATAGAAAATATAGATCTGTTAGTATTGAAATATAATCGAATAATGAAGTTCAAAGTAATAAACTATTGCAGTAGCAGACAATTATAGGCAATTGATTAACTTTGATGTTTTTCGTCAGCTAAGATCGTCAAAAAACAAGATTGGATAGCTGAACATTTTTTCTTATCCGGAAAGATGAAGAGAGTAGTTGAAGGAAGTTCATGGGACTAGGATTTTAGGAAAAACAAAACCTTAAGAAATAAAGTCTCAAATCCTGATCGGAAACGTTTAGAAACAAATTTAGTCATATAAAGCACTCCACGTGCTTCATAAAAGTGTTTTCATTTTAACGACGGCTTTAACATAAAGTTTTGCCAATTTTTCGTCTTTTTCGTGACCTAGCGCTGATTTTGGCGTGGATCGAATTTG